GAAACTTGACCATTGTAACAGTGTTAAGAGGGTGGGAAATCTGATTATGGTATTTGAAAGGTGGGGACTTTTAGAGATGATAAGATTGTGAGGATTGTGCTCTTGTGAATGGATTGATCCATTCATGGAGTAACGGGTGTGGTTCTGATGGCTTTATAAGGAGGGTGAGTGAAACCTTGCTCATGGCATCTGTTGCCATGTGACACCCTACATTGCTTTAGAGAGTCAACACCCAGAAGAAGGATTCACCAGATGTGTTCCCTGGACCTTGGACTTCCCAGACTCTGAAACTGTAAGAAATAATTCTCATTCCCTTATAAACCACCCAGTTTTAGATATCCTGCTCTAAGCAGCAGAAGTGGATTAAAACAGTGGGCTACAGATTCAGGAGTCCAGCAAAAAACAGTGAAAACATTCCGTGAGAATTAATTGGCTATAGAAAATTTGCAGTAAAGAGCATTGTATATTTTATTATTATTTGTAAATAATGTGTGATATATCTGTTATATCAATATAATTTATAATAAAACTATGTACATATATGCATACTTTTTCCAGGAAGCCTGTTATTACACATTTTCCAGTATACCACTAGGTAAATGTGACCCTAGCTCTGGGCATGGCTTAGAAAAATAAAGATGTCCAAGTTTGGAGGACCGAGGTAAATATTAACTATTAGCTGTAGGAGAAAGACAGCAAATTAAGAGGAAAGAACACGGGAGAAGCCGGTGCCCCACCTCTTCTGCCCACACTCTGTGTTGCAGCAGTCCTTCTCCCTACTCTGTGAAATGAGGGGACTAGACCAGATCTGTGTTTTTTATCTTTTTGACTAAAAGTCACAGTTGTACGTGTTACGTACAGCACACAGTTACAGCTATGACCCAGTTCATACGTGTGTGTGTGTGTGTGTGTGTGTGTGTGTGTGTGTGTAAAACATATTTTCACAAAATGACCCCCTTGCTATACTTGGTGCTCTCTGGTATTTCTAATTTGATTCAGCCCTTCTCTGTTCTGTCCCATTCTATTTTGTAAAATGTTAGTCATAACCACTAAATTAATTTCACAGCCCACTAATGGGTTGCAACCAGCTGTTTGAAAAACAGCAAACTCTGACTATCAGATGATTGCTAGGGGCCCATCGATCCACGAAGGGCCTGACTGGACATATTGTGCAAGTATGTGGCTTTGCCCCACAGGCTCCTAAATCTCATGACCTGCTCAGATGTGTAAACAGCAAGTGAGGTCATCGCCTCTCTCCAGTACATGGCCACAGCTTACCTCCCCTCCCCTGCCCCTCAGTGCTCTCCAGCATCTGTCACTTCCCCATGACCTGCTCAGATGTGTAAACAGCAAGTGAGGTCATCGTCTCCAGGACATGGCCACAGCTTACCTCCCCTCCCCTGCCCCTCAGTGCTCTCCAGCATCTGTCACTTCCGCTTCCCGCTGGAGGTGCATTTTCCATGTCTAACCTCTCACTTTGAGGGCTTTTCAAAAGCTAGAAACATGTTTTATTGAACTTTGAACTCCAATCACCCCTCACATCCCCCCCTCCCCTCTGGGCTGCTGACTTGTGGCAGGTACCTAATACATCCAAGTAAGTGCTTGTTGAATGAATGAGTGAAAGAAGGAAGGACGGAAGAGTCTGGAGGGAGGGAGGGAGGTGGAGGGAGAGAGAGCAGCACACTGCCCTCACTGTGTGCACACGCGTGGGCTGAGTGCGTCCTGTCCACCCAGGATGCACAACGCTGTCCTCCATCCCTGGCCGTGGGTCATACAGGCTTAGGCTCTGCAATCACCCCACCTGAGTGTTGAGTGCCCTCTGTGCCCTCCCCTCCCCTCCCCCCCGATGGGGCAGTCATAAAGCACCATTTGGGCACTTTCAGTGGTGAGGATCCCCTACCTCCCAGGCCAACCCTTCTGTCTTAGGGAGTCAGCAGGCCCAGTGGGAAAAGTGCAGGCTTTGGAGCCAGACAGATCTGAGAGTGAGTCCCAGCCCCTCCACACCAGCTGTGTGACCATGGGCCATGTGGGCCTGCCGTGCCCCGCTCTGGGCCTTCCTTACTCTTCTCACCCTGAGAATGAGTCTCATGCCGCCCCCAGGGTGCTGTGAGGATTAGACACAATGAGCATTGGGCACCCGGCCCAAAGGCTTCTCTCTCCCCATCCCCTCCCAGCTGTGGACAGCTCTGGCCCAAGCAACGGGGTTCTCATCTTGCAGAGCTTAAAGGCGGCTCTTGCTGGTTGTGCTTCTATCCCAGGCCCTGCCTGCTCCTCGGTGCTCAGATGCTGAGCAGGGCAGCCTCTGCATTCCTCACAGGCCCTGCCTTCCTGTCCCTCCCTGGTCACAACCCAGTGGTGTCATGGTCAGCCTCCTGCTAGAGCTGGGTATGTCAGGTACTCCTGCCCTTGGGCCCCTGGCCACACAGTGACTGTGGTCCCCCATCTAGTTAACCAGTAGCCAGAGTGGCTGCCCATACCTAGCCCTGGAGGGTGGCTCGAAGCTCTGCAGTTTTGTCCAGAGTGGCCCAGCTGCCCTCCTGAGCTGCCAGCCTCCTCTGAAGCCCTCATGGGAAGATGCCTAGCCAGGAAAAACCAGTTTGAGTACATCCTGGCTCTGCTGCTCTGTATGTGCTGTGGCCTCTTAGGCTCAGGGGACCCATGCGTCTCAGCTTGGTCACTTATGAATTGTGAGGGATGGACTGCTTGGGAAACAGCCCACCATTGCAGCAGCCAGTCTACTGTTTGGAACTGTCTTTTCGTAGGCCCGTGTCCCCCCTGGATGGGGAGCTCCTTGAGGGTGGGGGCCCTTTTCATTCTTCTCTAGGGCCTCAGCTCCCGGCCCAACCTCTAGCAACAGCAGGTTCTCACTGATATTTCCTAAGTGGATAGATGGAAAGCTAACAGCCCTGAGGGCCTACCGTGCACCAAGCTACGTCATAGGGGCTGTACATTTATTAACTAATTTCCTCCTCATAACAGTCCTATCAGAGAGATACTATTATCACCCCATTTCGCACATGTGGAAACTGAGCATGAAAAGATCAAGAAACGTGTTCAATCGGGCCGGCCCGGTGGCGCACTGGAGAGTGCTCCGCTTGGGAGTGTGGCGGCGCTCCCACCGAGGGTTCGGATCCCAT